TAGACCGGTCGGATTGGAAAATTCCGAAGGGATACGGTAAGCATCGCCGAAATCGATACCGTTCTTGGACCACTTTAGTGTGTGTTCAATTGTATCCAAGAAACAACCGATCACATCACCTTTGGTGAAAGCCTGCGGAAAAAAGAAACATCATAAGTGCATTGTAAAAAGAGGAACGCGGGTGCAGAAAATAGGCAAATCTACAGTAGATTGAATAAAGTAACCAACCGTCAAAAATATTAGCCTATTGGACAGCTGAACAACACGAAACAATCATGAATATATCACAGTAACAATGAAACCATCATCGTAATAAATAAATCGATGCAGGTACAGACCTGGACCCAATATGTATCAGACAAGACAAAAAGAGAACTATCTCAGATATGCATCGTAAGCGAAGAGGTCAATTAGATAGGTTACGAGCAATCTGGTAATTTCGCACAAAATCGATCAAGAAACAATACTGTGGAGCCTGTAGGCTACTTCGGATCTACGGTCACTTGAGCTGTACAAGACCGGGTGTTTCCGAACTGCGAACAGGAGAAGTGTCAATCTGATAGTTGATGATAAGCAGGTGGACACAAATTCAGCGAACCGTCGGGGCTATTCCCCAAGGACACCAGAGATTTTCGCCAAGCGAGCGATCTCTAGGGAGAACAGTTGCAAATATCAGGGGAAAGCATTGCAACTGCTGCGAGTATGATCAGTCACTTAATAAAACAATAAACGTTAATGTGTTGTCTAGCAGATAGTACTTCGCTGTTTCTGTTTCGATTGGCACAACACAAGATGTCGCGCTTCTCTGCTACCATATAAAAGAAAGGGGACGGGAAACGCGGATGGCAAATATCTGTGAAAATGTGTTACATCGATGGTGCCGAGGTGTGCGTGTGTATGTGGAGGTTTGAAATGATTAGATTTTAAGGATACCACTCAACTGGAATGGAACGTGAGCGACGTTCTGCTGTCAAAAGTAATAATAAAGTTTTGACCATGCAGAGATGTCTACAGTGGACAATTGGTGCAATATTTAGACATATGAGCATCGGTTTGGGGTATGAATACTTGTCACAGATAGAACATGCAGTAATTTTTAGCTGCATATACCATTGAATGTATCCCTGCATCGTCGGACACAAATTCTGACACACTTAAGCTTGGTCTGTGGTAGAACAAGAAAACTAGTACCCTCGTCATCAGGTCTACTACGTAAGTTGCAATAAGAAAATATGCGAAGAGCGCGATTCGTTAGCACCAGGAAATTTCAAACACACTTGGTTTATATTATTTGAATTTGCTTCGACATTCATTCGACATTCATTTTGCTCTTTTATCCAAATGGGCAATCAAAAGACAGCAACCAAAACCGGTGCACGAAAGTGCAAGGTTAATGGTTGTAAAAACTGAACTGAACTGAACACTATCTTGCATATTTCAGGACAAATTTCATCGGTGAGAAGTGTGTACTCATAGGTAACAAATAAGTTCTACACAACTAATCTACATGCGTGTAAAGACGGTTGACTTCATCCAAATAGAATTACTGGCAAGCATCGATATGGGAGTACCTATTATTCCCCACCCCCCACATTGAACACAAGATCAAAAAGACTAATTCAGAGATCAAACAAAAGAAAAAAAGAGGGTTCGAAAGAGATAGTCCAACTGAAACGGTCAAATGCGACCTGGTCAACAGTCAGTTTGAATCGATTGCGTTTTCTCTACATCCGAAAGATGGGTGATCCCTAGCAGACTGGTACAGACACACACAAAAACAAGGCAGACAAAGAAAGAAAGAAAGCGTACGCACACACGGGTGGGTAATTGACTGAGCGACACAATCAACATGGAAATACGATTGACAGGTGAGGCGGGAGAAGAGAAATATTTCATTTGTCACGTTCGAACCAAAGCTTATCTGATATTTCCGTGTGCAATCAAGAATAGTCGGAAGGTGAAATTCAGACAGTGCTGGAAGACGTACAAAACATTCTGCCTCGATCAGAAGTGATCCTGTCAGTTCACCACGAATGAATCTACCGTATGATGATGATGATGCACGCAGCAAAATGCGAGGCGAAAGCACCGTATTAAGCGTTCGATTATGGGCGAGTAGAAAGACATACATCTCATAGATGCCTCAGAGGAAATGAAATGATACAGCAGTCAACGTATTCAAGTTAATCCTCGTGGTTAAAGTGAACACCGCGAATGATAAAAACATTGAAGCGCGCATTGTATTTGCGTTCCAATCAGAGCATGTATAAATAGACAGCCGATGTGTTAATAGGGAAAAAATTATTGCGCGATCACCGCAGTCTCATATGAAGATGATGGAAGTTAGTGAGAAACAGCGGTTAACCTGTGCATCGATCAACTATAAGATTTAATTCATTTGTCAAACAAATGAATGAACACTCAGAAGTGGCGATTAGTGTGGAACAAGGGGCGCGGGGAAGGGAGGCTTTGTACGATATCAATACTCACCTCGCCATAGTTTTCAATCTCGTCTGCATGTACACGTTTGCCCTGTTGTCCATTGAGACCGAAACCTTGATTGTCTGCACCATAACCAAATCCGAAACGATCAGAGCCAAGATCCAGATTGGCTTCTTCAGTCGACCAACCCACACGGCACAGTCCGCAGTCTTCTAGTGGAGTCACCTCGAAGTAGTATCGACCGGGACCACGAATTCCCTGAGAGAGGGTGAAAATGAAGATCCAAAAATAAAACAGGCATTATCCACGAAGATCACTGATGTAGTCGACTGAAGGTGACCAGTGATCGTAAACCAGACTTTTAGAGGAAAACCACGGAAGGATATGCATGCAAATCTGCTAGATGGTGACAAAATCTTTGCGCATGTGCCTGATCATTTATTAGAAATAAGATCAGAATATAAATAAACCAAATGAGGAATACGAAGAGATGCTTGTACGTTTGTGTGCAACTTCATTGATCATGTGATCTAATGGGTAACGGCATGAATTAGGTGGATTCTGGAGACAAGAGGTTCGTCCGGTTGCTGTGCTGAAGTTGAAACGATTTTTTGACAGGGAACAAAACTCGCCTGTCTGGAATTTCCAGAACCAATCTAATCCACACCGGATATCCTCTCTTTCTTCTCTCATCACCTTCATTTTTGTATTCATTCCACCACCCACATAATCGTAGATCTTGGTTTACCTCTGTTAAGCATCTGATCGTACCAGTGTCTTGAGTGGAATAACCCCGGATAAGACTGGATAAGTAAGTTGCAGGATCTTTTCCCGCCAGAAGTGATTCTATCATGGAATGGGCGTACTCCCTGAAAACTACTTTGTTCCGGGGCCACCAATCAGATCAATGATAATCCAACCCCGGTGATCGGTCAAAATCCACAGCCAATCAAAGACGACGGTGATCTAGTCAACCAAGCATTGCGGACATGTGTTTTCTTGCTTCCCATCTTTCCTGTGCAATAAAGGAAATCCTGGAATAGTCTAGCTATTTTATTCCCTATATCTGTATTTTCCTCAGGCAGCCTTTGTATGGCCGTAGCCCCCTTCCTGAAAGTTGACTGTACATTAGTATATTCAATGAATAGAAAAAGGAAGTAAAAGACATTTAACAATGAAATCGCTGTTTGGACGACAGAATGATTATTTGGGAACGCTGTGTATCGTGATGATGATTAAGTTTATAACAATTTTCTGACTGGGATTATTTTTATCGAATGCAATCACTTAAATTTCTGTTAGCAATGCTACAAAACATAAAGGACATCATGTTAGGACAGTTCAGGTCGCAAGCATCCGATCTGGCTGGGGATGCCCCACAGTCCAGCGGTGCGGATTTCTTTACGGCCAACAGGATCGAATTCGATCACGACAGAGGCAAAAATCAGCTTCGAATCGGCGTTTAGATGTTGGGACAATACACTCCATCCAAGTGGACCATGTCTCAATTAATGACGCACAGCAGATGAGAACACTATTACGTAGAAAAAGTATCATGGACTAGGAATGGTGAGCAGACAACATTCCAGCTAAAAATGATCGAGATCTCTGGTACATTCACAGATGAAGTTGAAGTGAAATCATGCGCGCTCAATATCAGATAACAGTACGTGAAGTTGGTGAAAACTGACTGTGTTGACTTTACCATGAAATGGGATGGCGAATGTTTCAACCTGCAGACAATGACAGAGGATTAGTTCAAACGTCTCATTGTTGTCTGCGGATGCCAAGGTCAGAACGTGATTGTTTAACAGTATTTATCAGAAATGTAGTGCCGCACTACGAACCAGGAAGACGGAGAGCTAGAGCATGAAAAATTTGAAGCATGATTCAGTCAATCCAAATCATACACAAATGCACGCAATCACCAAGTGAATACCCACTCACAGGGCCCCAAAACCAGCATCAAACAAGCCTCCAGAAGCATTTTGGCAATGCGGTGAGTGACTCTCTCTATTCGCTTCTATCCAGTTAAGAAGCATGCCACAAACAAGACCACAAGGGATACGATTGTAATGCAAGCTAGAAGTCCGGAAACCGATCGCCGAAGAAATTGGGCTATTCAGACGCTTCCAAACAATACCAGGCCCAAATACTCACTCCATCATAGACAAAATTAGAACAGATTTCGAGGTTCGGAGCAAGTGTACAAGGGTTTCGCTCAGTGTAACTTCAGTACGACTACCGGTGAGTACAGTGTTTGTTCTCATCATTATTACTCACGGTACATGGATGCTGAGCAGACGACCCCAGATGTATATACCAAACAATGGAGCAGCCAAAAACGTGAACTGAAGGGCATCAGTGGCACGAACCTAACCATCATCGTCATGTGGAGAGAAATCAGGGTAAGCTGATGTTTTGGATTACAGCCGAGATACTTTTATTTGACGTAAAATTTACTCTCCCACAGTCCTCGTATGCACAGTCGCATTAGTCACTGAATCAAAATAAATGATGAAAAAAGGCAGTAGATGAATCTGGCTGGAAAAGTCAACCGATGCCAGTTGTGTTTTTTGCACGATTGAAGGTCATTTTTTCTGAGTAACTCCTAGTAGAAAATTAAAAACAGGAATTTTAAAAGATAATGTGGTGGATTTTCAGAGCTGAAAACATTCTATACTCCGGGGCAAAACTCGTGAGGACTTAGTGAACAAAAAATGCAGCAAATAGGGTTTAGTATACCTGATTCGCGCGACATCCTTGCCATCCTTGACTGAACTGCGCTTGAGCCATACTTCCGTCCGGAGCCACATCCATACCAGCTGATGCATCGTATGGGTTCAGCCGCCATCCGGTATTCCGATTGGATACCTGGCTGTCATCAGAAGCCACCGCTACCGGTGTGAACGGACCACCCGGATGGAACTCCAATGCCTGATCACCAAAGTTGAACAGCAAGCGCGAGTCCTTCAAACTGGCAGCTGCCAGAACCGTCCGTTGGCGTGGGAGTGAGTGTTTTTCGATGATCGAGTGAGACAGGATGAAAGCATGAAGATAGCAATACAGTTTAGCACATTTTATTTACAAAACTACAGGCACTGTTTGACCAGTACAGATAGTACGGGGTTTTTATTTACTCTATTAATCAGCGATTTCCACTACAGTAATCGAATGTCTGGGGATTATTCGATTAGTTTCTTAGTTATTTGACAGTTTGTTCCCTTCAATTGATTTATCTTTCCCAAGCTAAATTGAACTAGGCGGTATAGAAATTCAAGTATATGATTTTTTTTTCATTTACCAAACTGGAGCACGACGCATGAACTGGAGTCTAAACGGCAACTATCAACCATTTTACACAGATGCGAAAATGCAGTTCTAGCCATCTGTGCTTGCAACTCACCCGGAAGGAACGATTCACCCCGAAGTTGATCGGGAATGGTGAACGCACGTTGAAACACCTTGCCGTTCACCGACCAAGACACCGATCCCTTGTCTAGGTCGAGTAAACAACCCAACACGTCACCTTGCTGGACCATAACTCCGTAATCGTGTCCAGTATTCCGATGCATGGCTCTTCCGGCGCCGGTACCGCTCGAGGATCCGGTCATATCGGCGCCGAAACCAAAACCGCAATTGTCGGCACCCAGTTCGAGGCTGGCTTCGTTTGTGGACCAGCCCACACGGACTAGACCATCCTCGAGACAAGCCGCTTCGTAATAGTACGCACCAGGAGCTTTCACACCTTTGTTAGCACGGCAACCCTGCATCAGATAGACGGGTCCAGTGGGTGGGTGGGTGTGACAGAGAGAGAGAAGACAATGGAAAGGTCAATTTAGTATGAGATGACGATGATGATAAGGAGAACAACAAATTCTGAACATGAACATCAAACGCAGAGATGAGAATAACACGCACATGTGATTTCATTGCGAAGGCTCCTGTAATGTGTGGAAGATAGCTATCGGACAACAACAAACGGGTTGTCTACGTTGGTTATCACATGTTGAACAGAAAAAACGTACATGTCTGAGTCAAGATGATTTGAGCCCTTTACATCGACGAGATGGTACTCATATTCTACGATCGGTAGCGATGGAGAGGTGCTATACGGTATAAAGCATCGGTCCTATGTTCTAGCCAAACAACATTGAGAAGTGTAGATCGATGAACCAACCATATACAGAACAAACGACATGCCGCGGTTTTAGATCATAATTAGCACTCATTTGATACGAACCTGCCACCCAGCTCCACGCTGAGCTGCTACATCTAATCCCCGAGCATCGATCCCCAGTCCCGAGGTTCGATCAGCCGGCGAGATGCGCCAGTTTTCCGGTTCAAAACAAGGTCTTGTGTGTGGTGCACCCCCGAGGCCGACCGTCCCAGCTGCAACGGTCCCGGTCATTCCTTGGGGAAGAGCACGTTGTGCACCTGGAGCTCCGGGCATTGAATGCCCGTTCATCATTTGCTGTCCGTCCATGTACATTGGGCTAAGCGTGTTCATCTCGCCGGGCATCATAGAAGGCTGATACTGATACTGACTGGCCATGGCTCCATTCATATGCAGATCACCTACATAGAAACAATCGAGAGAATAGAAAAACAAATAAGTTCACGTCCGGAAGGATGATTATATATCCGCCATATTGAAACAAAAGTGATTTTGGACAGAGGACCCAAATGACGCTAGCGTTCCGTCTGGTGGTTCCGGGGTTCAATGAACAAACGGTGCTGATGTGAACTCCAAGGCTAAAATCGGTGTAAACTGGCTCCAAAGATTTCAATTTATGTTTATTTTGCCCTGTATGCGACGGAGTTTATTTTACACATTTATATATGTATGAAGTAAATGAACACAAAAAATTTCCTGAACGGTATCTGTCTACTTATTCAGCCCATTCAAATTTTTTTTGATAATAAATATATAATTCGGAACCTATAAACCAAGATCACAATGATATGGATTGATGGACAATGTTGTACAGGATACTTGAATTCGAAATGTATGTGATAAGCAGACTATTTTCACCAGCCTTCAATGTTTGTCGTGAATCGACAACGAATCCAGTCAGGGTGTAACACATTAACTGTTTAGTTTCAAATCCTTACTGGAAAAACTAGGGCACGAGAGGTGGTCGCGTCTGGTGCGGTCGATCAATAAGCGTCAAACACAGTAGCGCTCGTTCCGGTGTTGATTGGCTGGTGAATTAGACCAAGCGGTGATAGTCACCCAGGGCCAGACAGTTTGCACATTTGGCAGTCGCGACCAAATTCGTTCCGCGATAGAAACACAGCCTCTTGTCCCACCGGGGACGAGAATCCTGGCTGAGTCAGGCAAGTAAGTGTGGTATGCATTCATTAGAATTAGGATTTTTACAAATGAATGGAATGGGTAAACAGTATTCCACTATTTATTTTTGGCTTAGTCTCTCTCTCTCCCACCTAATTCTAGAACTTTGTGTGAATTAAAATAAGCGAGTAAAGTGATATTCGGCTCTCAGCACTAAAAACGTTAGCCTGATTGACCTTCATGGAGCTAAAACGAACTACAACCCATATATGGCTCTCCCCACGTGATCCTCGTGCGAGCAATATTGATGGGTGGAAAGATGAAGAAACACTGACAATGAGTTGACAGCAGTGATACATTTTTTGTCATTTCCCGACAAATCGGACCCGTTGAATTAGTACTCGGATAGGTAGATTGAACTAAAGTGTGCTTGTTGTTGGTCGCATTGATTTACTTAGACTTTCATACGTATGCACGCAGACACAATTTTGCCTCCCAAATTCTCAGTATGGTCGGGGTGGATTGCGGCCGGCCATCTATAACCTTACACCTCGAGAAATGCACCCGCACGACTAAGTGTCTCAGCTTCTACCGAGGAAGCCCTACTCACTACCCTCTAGTGGAAGTGTTTTCCCACCGAAGTGAGAGGATGAAAAGTCAACAATCGGGTCGTTGAACCACTGGCAGTTCACCTGGGGGAGTTGGCTAAAAAAACTAATTCCAAACAAACTAAGAAGACGCGTACGAACCATACCCACATACACCTTCCTGGTTGTGGTCACCGGCTGAATTGGGCACCGATGTGTATTGAGCACTTGGGTCCCAGTCCCAAAGGCGTATGATCCGATGAACTGGACACCGCACCCCTCTCCACACCCCCTCCAATGGAGTGCGATTTTCACAGACCGCCCAACTGCCTTGCGAGGTAGGCTTTGGCTATCCGAAGGCACTGACTGTGAATTCTCAAAGAAAATTCACCTGCTTTGGCCTGAACAACCTGGCAGTATCATGCCCACGAGCAAATCATGAACTTTTTCTTTTTATAAGGATTATTGTACCGTGATTTGCTGGGCACGAAGTGGGAACTCAGGTGTGAAAAAATATCACTTATCGTATTCCTCTCATTTCATCTACATTGTGCGTATGACTAAGACGACGATGATGTCGGTTTTATTGTAAGAACGACGAGGATAAGAAGCACCACGAACGGTACACAGTGGAATAAGGGCACACGGATCGCGTGCGAAGCATCCCCTAGGGATGTTAGCGGAAACGTAGAGCATAAAACAGATGGTAGCATTGATTCTGTACCTTCTTCGGCAAACACTACAACACGAGGGGATCGTGACCTTATTTTTTTATTGCACATCCACGTATGGTGAAGGGTAGACGGGGTAAAGCCCTTAGTTGAGAGTCTGCTGTTCATTCATGAAAACCGACAATCGAGTCTGGAGTGGTGAACCACTAAATAAACCACACACCTGAGTTCGTTTTCCTTGAATATGATCGACGTTTTCCAGAACACACGATACTGCATTCAGTGGGAAATAAAAAGAATCACCTTGTTCTCCATACATGATAACCGTGCAGTACTCGGGCTCAAGCGTTGAAAAAACGTTGGTGAACTGGAACACGAAACAATGCAGACCAGCTTCACACACACACACACACACACTGGCCTGAAGAACCGGAAAAGCTCAATTATAAACGAGTGAACCATACATTGTAGTGAATGGTCTGAGCATCTCAGTCAACTAGCGATGCGTCAAATTCAAATTTACTCTTCAAAGAGAACCGAGGTGCCTCAACATCACCCGAATCAGGTGAAAAATATGGATTGCATCCACTAAGTAGGATAACGGAATTTCACCGCAACCAACTTTTGTTTCATCTAAAACTCCAGACGATAATCCCAACACGTAACTGGTCTATCACGTGGGCAGAAGTCAAGAAGGTAGACGAAAATAATCTCATGCTGAGACCGAATAGATGGGTGAATCGTGCGAGCTTTTTTCACTACGCGAAGCATTTGTTAGCTGCAAATAGGCAATAGCGGAATGTTTGACCGAAAAATTTGCTGCGAAATTATACGAGTGGAAAACCGATACAACTTAATATATGGTAGTGGTAGGAATCGCACAGTTTGACTCGAGAAACATCGCAGGACTGAAATTCTAGTGTACAGCATTTTTGACGGTGATTGGGAGGGGGAGAGAGGGACGCGTCTCGCAGATCAAATCAAAGCTTGAATGTCCGTTCCTGCGGCAGCTCAGACAAAACAAAGTTAGTGATGCGGTCGGGGGATCGGTAGAAAGGATTTTATTACGCAGAATTGCGGGTTGGAGAAACGCA